AGGCTTCTAAAAAAAAAAAAATTGAATTTTTTTTTTATTAGAAGAAGTGTTTTTAGCGTAGAGTCAAATCTTCCAAGTGTCGAACGTTGTTTGCAGTAATGTACACCTAACGCGAAATTGTGGAAGATCAGAAATCAAAACCGCAGGCAACGACAATGATTTCTGCCAAAAAAAAAAAATTTTTTTTTTGTCTCTCCAATTCTTTACTTTTAATGTCAACAGATAACTACACTAGTGAAAATTCAATTTATTTACAGCATATATATATACTTCTTAGGTTACAGAAATCAAAACAATCAAAAGGTTTTTGGTTAATCAACGTCTGCTACAAGTATAATTTTACAACAGATTTGATTTTAGCGTTTGACTGCATTGGTTTCGTTAGCACAAGCAACAGTTTCATGGTAACAAACTATTTCATCCTTGATTAAATAGAATATGCCATTCGATAGAGTCTGCCGCTTCCTAAAAAAAAAAAAAAAAAAAAAAAAAAAAAAAAAAAAAATTTGAAAAAAAAAAAAAAAAAAAAAAAAAAAAAAAAAAAAACGAAAAAAAAAAAAAAAAAAAAAAAAAAAGTTTTAAAATTCAGGTTTGACATATATATCAAATCTGTTCAGTTTCCTGCGGCATTCTAATTCTAATCTTTAGCTAACCAGAGAAGTACTGCTGGCAGACTCATATGTTGGTAGCTAAAAAAAAGCTGGACTACTTTTTACAAGTTGGTTATAGGATCAAATGAGCTGCTGAAAGCCTTAAATATCTGTTTATTGTGTGGGGCTGATGATAAATAATAAAAGCGCTAACTGTAGCTTTAACGAATGTATCAACTGTAGGCATTTGTGTTTTGATGGCAAGAAAAAAAGGCGAAAAAAAAAAGCAAAAAAGTTGGTAAGTTTTGCTAACGTTGGTACTGCTTTTTTTTCATTTCACTAAATTCCATATGTTTTCTTGAATACATATACTCTTCATCTGCTAAAGTTTTTTAGCAGCTGTTTTTAAGCAGTTTGATGTAGTACGCTGTTAAAGGACTGCTGTTATAAAGACAGTTTAAGGATGTAAAGTTTTTTTTATGATTAAACGATAAAACAGTAACGTGGCCCTTGTTATTGTTCTGAATGACACAGTTTCTAAACAAGGAAACTGTGTACAGCTGTCTGATAAGTTCAGACTGTAGTCTGTAAAACTGTCTAATAACAACAACAAAAAAAAAAAGAAGCTGTTGTTTGCTTTGTTATTTTTATTTTTTTTTTTTTTGCCACAAATAACTTCTATGAGATCATTTCTAAAAATAATAATCTTTACCTGCTTCAAAATTGCTGTCACCGATTATACAGTTAAGCTTCTTGCTTCAAATATGCATTTGTACTACCTGTTTAGTGTGGTCGATAATGATTTTGGAAACACAAACCTTAAACAGCACTGTGTACTAAAACCCCGGCAGTGCCTCCAATGTGTTTAATATGTTCTCAACAACCCAATATTTTTATGCTCACAGCAGATGTATTTGTTTTTCTAACAAAAAAAATTGGACATTTTTGCACAGAGTATTTTCTTCTATTACTTAAACTGCAAGTCTACGATTTTACAGTCAAGAAAAAAAAAAAATAAATAAATAAATAAAAGAAAAGAAAAGAATATTGGCAAAATTTTCTTGCTAAAATTTTCACTATACATTAGTCTCAAAGTGCCTATAACCAGGCATTTATCAGCAAAGGTATCAGCAT